TCCTCATGGCTCAGCAGCAGAAGCATAAATATTACTGTTAAAGCTGATGATAAAGCTGAATAAAAATCTAATTTTGATTCTGAAGGTAAATTAAATATCTGACAGTGATCATTACACAGTGTGGCTCTAATTCCTCACTTCACCATCTGTGTCGCTGTTTCACGTCTCCAAAATGAGCGTACGCATGGGTCAGAGCTGGCGTGAGGCACCGCACATTTTCACGTCAAGTTTGGATTTTATAAATCACTACCTTAGCGTAAAAAGTGGCGTACGCAAGTTTCTGGGCTCAAATTGTGCGTACACCAGTTTTATAAATCCGACCCCTGAACATTTTAAACAGCCACAATAGAAGTCTACGTTCAAACTGCAGATCTTAATGCTCAATTCAAATTCTTTGTCCAGATCAGGTTTTTGTGTGGTTATTCACATTATTTAAATGTGACCTTCATCAGTCTTCAGATTGAACCGTTAGTTCTAAAGTGACCTGCAGAAGAAAATGTGTCTTCAGTACTTTTTGTCAGTCTTCACTCCAGTTCTGCCGCATCCACTTACACCTGTTCTCTGTAGTCATTTGGCCCAGATGTCTCCACTTTATTCATCAGCCTTGGTATATTTATCCTCTGGTTTTGCTCTCATTCTGCAGTGTAAACTTTAGCTCAGGTTGTTCCTCTGTGCCTCCACTTCCTTGTTGCTTTTGTTTGTTTGCTCCAGCTTCTTGTGTTAGTCTGTAATTCTGGGTCCTACACCACCAACCCTGACATTCTGCTTTTGCAACATTTTATGTTTTGTTTAGTGATGAAAAGAACTTTTGTTTTGCCCCCTTATTTGATCATTTTTGAAGAACAATCTCCACATGATAACTGCTGCATCTACAATGATACAGAGCTCTAAACATCAGTCAAAGATGTGATTATTTTACTAAACTAACCTTGTGACATAGACATACGCTCCACCCAGCAGCACAGACAGCAGCAGAATGAGGATGACGACGGCCAAGGCTATGTTTCCTCCGTCCAGAGGGGAGCCTGCAGTCGCCTCTGCAACTGGAGCACATTTCACAGGTTAGTCTGGAGGAGTTTTATCCAGAATTTCTAAAAGTTTGATTCAAAGTGTTTTAACAAATAGTGGATGATGCAGGAAACCAAACACAGCTGGAAGAACAACACAAACACATATGGGCACGCAGGTGTTAGCAGATGTCAGCAGAGCAAACAGAACGGTGAAGTGATTTTAGTTTTTCTCATTTCTCATCTTTTCTTTTCTCATTTACTGTATATATAATGTATTAAGGTGTGAAGATACAAGTATTGGTTCAGGCCTCACAAGTCAACATGCGTTTACTGAACACAATCATATGAGGAGCCAAAGAGTGCAACTCTAAGTTCCACCGCACCTTGTAAAAGGTACATACACGTAGGTAAATACTTAGGTAGTGATTGTATGAAAAAAAGTGGATTTAAAATATGTTGGAATTATTCAAAAGCAACAATATACTGTATGTAGCTGGGTCCATGTCCAACTTAAGCACATCATCTGAATTAAACGTACCTGACAGGAAGGAAAAATCAACTAAAATGAAAATTGGACTGCCTGAAGAGTTGTTAAAAATTCCGATTCTCAGACTCACAGGAGTTTATACAACAGCAGATG